AGGATGCCCCGCGCCCAGGGCGCGTCCAGCAGGGAGTGCAGCGCCCGCAGGCAGGTCAGCAGGCTCTCCTGCGGCTGCGAGGACCGCGGGCAGCACAGCGCCTCCATGCAGATGCCTAGAACACACAAAACTAAACTGTATCGACTAATTCTGGAATGGCTACGAATTCCTCCCGGAACTACATTACAATACAATCTTACCGAAAAGCAGGTGGAACCTGTCGGCGGGCGAGTCCACGGCGCCCTTGGCCACGCTGGCGTTGTCGGCGTGGTGGTCGGCGGCCTTGTCCTGCACCTCGCCGCCGTGCTGGCCGCCGGCGCTGAGCCACAAGGCAGCCGCGCGGAGGATGGGCGCCCAGCACGCCGAGTAGTGCGGCCGGGAGGAGTCGGTGGTGTCCGTGGTGTAGAAGGCTCCCCCGTCGTGCGGCAGCTGGCTCGAGAACTCTGCAAGGGTGAGGAAAGGAGTGGGGCATCATGCATTTGCTGAGTCAACTCTATCAGACGGCAGCCCGCACCGGCGGGTGTTCATCTCAAAAAATCAAACCCTCCCCCCAAAATTCAAAAATTCCAGAAAATTAGGAAAAATGAAGCTTCAAAAACGCATGCCTTACGCACCAGGAGGCAGCGACAGCAGGGCGTGGTCGCGCAGCGCAGCCAGCCAGTGGCGCGACAGGCTGGGCAGCTCGGGCTGCACGAGCGAGAGCAGGCTCTCGCCCTGGGACTTGAACTCGCCGAAGTCGCTGTCGGCGTCGGCGTCCTCGACCCGGGCGCGCGCCCGGCCCCCGGACTCGTCGCCCACCATCGCAACCACGTACACCTGCACCCAAACAAACGGCGTGTCGCTCAAGAACAAGAAGTTCGCAGCTTCCTCCATTTCTACACAGTAGGAAGTTTGGCAAACGATCAGTAATGTGGTTAGTGCATTCGGAGTGCACTCACCTCGGCCCAGGCCTTGAGGATGGCGAGCCGCTCCAGGGTGGCGAGGCTCTCGTTGTAGAGCTTGCCGCTGCTGGAGCCCTTCTGCAGCTTGGTGAGCGAGCTCACGAGCAGCTGGTGCACGCGGCGCAGGTCGTTGAGGTCCCGGGCGACGCCGCTGCCGATCCAGGCGCTGCTCACCTGGCAGGCCATGGCGGTCACGTGCGAGGGCGTCTCGGGCGAGAAGGCTGGCCGCAGCGCCGCTCCGACCTGCGGGGTGACGTGCGCAGAGCGTTAGACGGATAGGGGAGGCTACGGGGGGCGGGGTGTCAGCCTGCCACCAGACCAGGACGCACCTGGGCCTGGAACTGCTCCAGCAAGAGGTGGCCGGGGAACTCGGGCTCGGGCACCGCGGCGAACTTGTCGATGACTTCCTGCAGGGTCTTCAGGCCCTCCAGGCGAAGGGGGTCGGAGTCACTGGTCGCGGCCATGAACGCCATGCGGACCAGATCCGAAAGGTGCAACACCAAAAAGTCTCCTGAAGGGGTGGTGAGATGTTGGTAAGTAACTCGTTGTGCGGATACAGATGCGCGGGTGAGCCGTGAGCGCGGTACTCACCACGAGTCTTGGTGAGCTGCTGCTCCTTGGCGAGCGCGAGGTCGAAGTGCGCGCGCACGGCCTTGTTGGAGTGGCAGGCGGCGATGATCCGGCGCACACACTCGGCGGCGAACACCCTGGTGGGCCAGCGGGGCTGCAGCGGCCGCGCGCGCTCCTCCGCCGCGTGGAACTCCTCCTGGTCGTCGTCGGCGTCCTCGTCGTCGGCGCCGTCCCCCTCCACGGCTGCCTCCCCCGCCAGCGACACGCCCGCGCCGGGGTCGTCCGGGCCCGTGGAGTCTGTTTCCAGAGTGACCAATGAACAATTGCGATCGAAAATGGCAACTTTTGCAACGATAGCACTAGAGCAAAGATTGAGGCTCACCAGTGGAGACGGTGAGCACGTCCTTGCAGAGCCCCAGCCACTGGCCCAGGCTGTCGGCGGCGAGCACCTGCAGCATGCTGGTGAGCGTGTCGTGGATGTCCTTGATGAGCGGCGCGTCCGTCTCCGTGTCCAGCATGCAGAACAGCACGCCGGGCAGGCCGCTCTCCGTGATGGTGAGCCCCTCGGCCTCCCCGCCGCCGGCCCCGGGGCCCACCCCCGCCCCCGCGGCCTCGCTGGCCAGGCTCATGGCGTGCTCGCACACCTCCCGGGCCTCGCGCTGCGCCAGCTGCCTCAGGCACGAGATGGCCGCCTTGCGCAGCAGCAGGTGGCTGCTGGACAGCGTGCGCTGCGGGGATGAAGCACAAGCGGGAGCTTAATTAACTGT